GAATGACAGCGGTACTCTTGCGTTGGTCGGGGCCCTCCTACGATGGAAGGAAACCTGAGAACTTATGATGTATTCACATTAACGAAGCGAATAGGTCTTGTGTAAGTCAGGGCCTCCCAGCACCAAACAGGAGGCCATCCATCCCAATTCGAGCCTGGGCCTATTAATTTTTCCAGCTTTGAGGTTGTCCTCTGGCAACAGGCACCGAAGTTACCACATCAGCACGAAAAACAGAGATTCTTCCTGTACTTTTCCAGTTCCACCACCCGATTCCAGCACCATTTCGCGGCGTTGTAAAGGCCAATTTGTCTTATCATCAATCTAAAAATTACGCCAGTGAACACCGCGGGGCTCGGCCTTTAAGCGCGGCCAGTGGAGACAGCAGCTGCTGGCCCATTTCGATCCACAATCTACATTCGCGAGGCCCTTAATATGTCTGAAGAACCGGGATACAAAATCCGAAAATCCTGCGTAGAAAGAATCGCCGGACTATTGCAAAATGAACAGTGCGTGCGGTTTATTTCATGCAGTCGTTTAAGGCATGATTTCTTTAGTTTATTTACTACAAAATTCGGGTAGAATTGATCTCGCGGTAGCTCCTGATTTCTATTCTAGTTATAGCAGGCGAAAGTTAAAAAAAACATCGAAGAAAAGCATGCTCTTATAAAGGAATTTTGCTGTGATTTTGCTGTGAGCGGCCTTTTAACTATAAAGGGGGCCCTTTGTCAACCCTGTGCCCACCCCCCGCGTGCTATGGCTCGGATAACTCATCTGGCCCTGAGTCACCTTCGGGCACATGTAGTGGTGAGAGCGGCCGGGGGGGGGGGGATGAGCCAGGAAGGAGGGAAGAAAAACGAAAGTGACGGCTATACTGACTTTGTTAAAGCTGCCATGATTTGGAAACCCTTCTGCCGCACCATGTACGTTGCATCGTCTTTGAGACATCCTGTCGTCAGTCCTCACCATGCCGTTTGGTTCGGATCGCCAGTCACTGACTGCGAAACGTGGGTCACTCTTGCTGTCTACAGGCTGAAAGGTCGTCAGGTTGTTTGTTTCGAGTTTGTTTCGAGAGAGTTCCATCACCTGTCAGCGCAGGGTGTCCCGAAATTGGTGCGCGGTTATACCGTCCTCACAAACATCGAGACCGGTTCATGATCTATTTGCCAATGTAATCCCACGCAGTCGTATGCACTGCCGCATGCGTTCAGGCATGTCGCACATCATGCTGTCGAGAGTCTCTGCCTTGACCCTCCGCCACGCCGCTTGCACGTTTTGGAACAGGGTCTTCTCTGAAGTGGCCGGAGACATCTTGCTGAGGTCCTCCTTGACGATCACGCAAAGACTCTTGATCGGCAATATGTCGTGCTATTGCCTGGCCACGTACCCTTCTCCCAGAAGCCCGGGAAGTCGGCGTGGCACCAGTCCTGGGTCTTCCTGGCGTGATGAGCTGGAGCGCCGTACTGCTGGAAAATCGCCCACGTGTCTGGCAGACGTTTGACCTTGGTTGGCGGGTCATTCTCCTTCCTCCGCTGCATCGTCGATGCTGCAGTCTTCTCTAGCACCTCTCTGACGTAGTAGTCGGCGGTGACAGTCTGCCCGCGCGGGACTTGGTGTAGCTCAGAGAGGCTTCCGCAGCCCAGTACGCCCCAGATAAGAATCTTAGCGGCTGCTTCGCTGTCCCGGCGATCGGCACTTCCGAGCTGTTGTTGGCCCAGATCCGGTCGTTCTGACGGGGCTTGGAAGAGCTCGACGGGCGACCCATCACTGAACAGGACGCGTCTCCAGTCCTGAACGGACCAGTTCTTGCGGGCCTCGGTGAATTTCAGCCGCCTGCGCCTCTGGTCCACGGTAAGCCTTGGCTGCAGCCTGAGCTTGAGCGGCTTCACTTGCAAGCTGGTCTTCAGATACGGGTGGACGGCCGACTTGGAGGCTGGGTGTTTCTTCGCCGTCAGTTTTCTCGCCAGGGTTCTCGTCGAGTGGCGCCTTTTGAGGGCCGACTTGGAGGCTGGGTGTTTCTTCGCCGTCAGTTTTCTCGCCAGGTTTCTCGTCGAGTGGCGCCTTTTGAGGGCCGATTTTGCAATACCAGTCTTCGCCACTCGGCTCAAGGCCGACTTCCGCCCACGACCCGTGCGGTTTTCGAGCGTCTCCCCCGAGTGGTCGCGGGCCAGCCAGCGCCTAATCGTCGCTTCGTTGACGTCAACTCCCTGGCGACTTGAGCCTGGGTCATGCCGCCCTTGACCGTCCCAACCGCACGGTAGCGGATCGATGGCTTGTGCTCTTTCACCATTGGCGATATGCGGACTTGACGCATTGGCTATCTCGAAATAAATAATGACCTCTCCCGTCCGCTACCGGCCGAGGTCAGACCGGCCGCTAGGGTCATGTGACCGCCTGACACGGCGGGATGCCCTGGGGCCGAGCGCGGTACAGTTGCACTCATTCAGCGTTTGGAAGAGGGGGAATGATGTACGGCACCAACCGCGCATTAATTTCGGGACATCCTGTGCGTGTACACACCACGCCGAGCCGAAAAAGGCGTATGCCGGAGAGACGAGCACCAGGCAAGACGTGCGGGCGGGTGCTGCCGCGCGAGCGGCGACGCGCCTCCTGCCCAGTACACCCGACAATGAGCTGGTGAGGTGTCCGCTGGACCACCTCCGCCGGTGTTGGCGGATGCTGCCGCGCGAGCGGCGACGCGCCTCCTGCCCAGTACACCCGACAATGAGCTGGTGAGGTGTCCGCTGGACCACCTCCGTCGGTGTTGGCGGATGCTGCTGCGTGGGCGGTGACGCGTCTCCCGCCCGGTACACCCGACACTGTGCTGGTGAGGCGTCTACCGGGGCACCTGCGCCAGCGTGGACGGGCCAGCCCTGAGACTAGTCTCATGGTGTGCTGATCGGGCGGGAGTTGATTAAAGGCTCAGCTATTTCCGACTGTTATTTCGTGTTTGGAAAATAAAAAATACAAATGCCTAGCATTTTCACGTTTGGAAAGCCGGGGAAGTCGAATACTCAAACGACGAGATAATCCTACAGGAAAAATTCACACACTGGCCGGTGAAGGCACTTGTCGCATTGGTATTGGAAATTTGATAAAATTACTCAATCCGTACTGTATCACAATCCATGACAGTTCCTGGATGTGGTAAATTCAGAAATTCATAATACACTAAGCTCAGGTACTGGAAAAGTGCGCACAGATACGTGAACAGACATATCATCAGTGACTTCGATTCTGACATTTCAAACAATTGATGCACAAAGTATATTGGAGATGAACTTCACACGCAGCGAAAATGTGGCTTAACGAAAGGTGAGGAATGGAAGCACAAACATACCGTGTCCCGAGAGGTCATTGCGCCCCGTTTCCGCAGGTCACACCAACCACTACATAGGCCCGATGGAATGAGCACCGACGCGTCGGCTCCCACCCCGGCGACTGGAAAAAGTAAGGCACTAGTTGCCTTCTAGCCAGCCTTCAAGAGCAGACGGTTCGGCAACCTTGTAATGGAGCTGACCTAAGCCGTCTTCTGCACAGCCAACACACGCGTCGGCCACTGGAGCCTTAGGCCCAATCGGAAGGGGAAAGGGCCCCGTCACAGTCCAGTGCCAAAACGCATTTGAGCACTTCTCACATGCCATAAACGACCCCACAACCCGGACACAGAAACAGAGCGGCAACCTGGCACGGCCGGCCATCTGCGAGGCGGCGTCGAGGGCGGGGCGGCGCCATGACCGGTGCCGTGCGCCGGATACCGCCGTCACGCGCGCCCCTCCGCAGGTGACGCCCCACTGCAGAGGCGGGCCCAGGGGGGCGCCCCAACAGGGCGTACGTACGCCGCCCGTACCGGGAAATGTCGCGTACTGGGAAGCGTCGCGGCTCGGTGCCGCGTGCACAGCCGTCGGTGCTCGCAGACAGGGAGCTCGTTGCTACACGGTGTAGCGGACGGCCACGCCTTGGCGCTGGAAGACGGCCGTCCGGCACGGGACGGTGACCTCCCGCCCCGTCCCCCAAGGACGCGAAGTAACCCCTCGCGACTGAAAATAAGCCTGGATGCTGGAAGGCGACCGTAACACTGGTGACCGTCCCCAAGGCTGATCGACAGCAGCTTCAGCGGCGGCGGGCAGCGCGCTCAGGCCGTCCTCAGCAGCTTCAGCGGCGTCAGGCAGCGCGCTCAGGTCTGGAAGGCGGCCGCCTCGGGCGTCACCTGCTGCACGTCGATGAAGTACGAGTGTGAGAGGGCGGCCTTGGCCGACACGCGGCGCGCCGGGTCGTACGTGAGCATGGCGGTCAGCAGCGCCAGCTCGTCCTCGGCGGCGCCGGGCACCACCGACGCCAGCGAGCCGCGCTCCCAGCGAGGGAACGTCGACTTGTAGTCGGGCAGCTGCGAGATGCCCGGCCAGACGCGGTCGTCAGGCGTGCCGAGCGTGCGGAAGATGCGGAACAGCTGGTCGATCTCCGAGTCGCCCGGGAACAGCGCCCGCTGCGTCAGCTGACGGCGAAGGCGGCCGTCAGGCGGCGCTCCAAACAGAGCGCGACTACGCGGGGAGGCACACCTCGTGTTACAACAGGCTTTCCTACGCATGCGGCCTCAGAAAACTTCTCCCCAAAGGTGCAGTGCAAAGCACTTAAACACTGGCCCATTTCAAGATGCATGGGGTATGGCTATCACACAATTCAAACTTTTCCTGTTTCAAGACACCTTGCAAGAAATCCATTCTAGACCAGCATAACACACGCCAATGAAAGCAAGCGACGTCGACAAATGAAGATAACAGGAGAGGCGTGGACTGACCGCAGACCCGAGCGCGAGGGCTCGTGTCTGTGGGTGTCTGGGCTACTGGATAACTGGACGCGGTTACCAAACGGTGTACAATGATACCAGGACCCGGCTCAGTCTAACAACAAACCAGCGCTTGAACATGGCACTGTACTGACATACGATGCGTGCATAACTTTGCTTCACCGACATGTTTTATTGTTCGTTTCATGGAACTTACGGCGCCAAAACGCCCACGGAGTCGATTTTTGTGTGCATAATCGTCCAGATTTAGTTTGGTCGCATCACATTTCATAAGGTCACTACGCTCATTTTTGCCACAAGTTGGCACAGGCCGGTCAAAATTGGGTAACAAATGCCGATTTTCTCCGCAAACCGCAAAGTAGGACATCTGACTTGATCTGGATAGAGGCTGTGATGGCGCGCTGCTGGCCCGGTGCCAGGTCACATCGGCGCAGGCCGGCCGTGCACGCAGGCACGAGTGGAGACCAGACCTCGCTCAGCGGCAGTCTCTAACCAGGCCATCACAAAAGTCTGGTATATGGTCTATTCAGAAAATTGTTTATTTGCCGCCCGATTTTGAGCCCGACATTTCCTTAAATAGACACTGATCCACCACAGATAGTATTTTTTAGTTAATACGATTGGTCGAAAACTTTACCTCTCATTGTATGACAAAGCAGGCGTAGCGAGGGGTTTGATGCCACCAGCAGGTCCCAACTGATGGTCCCATGGTTAACACACACGGCATCAGCTGACAACTGGAGGTGACGTCAAGCGACTGGGTGGATCGCCGAACGTGGCCGCATGCAGTGATAGCTGCATCCCCAAACCCATGCACGAGCGGTACATCCCAGAAAGCAAGCAGGGCGTTAACACTCTCAGTGGAGCCTGAATCTGTGCCTGGGGATTCGCCTCCTCCCCTCTATGTAGAAGCATAATGCTGAAAATGCATGAAACTAACGTAGTCAAGTCGCTCTCCAGCATTGGTGAGGGCAGAGTATGAAGACAGGGCATGCAAGAAAGTGAAAAAGACTTTACCTGGGCGGTTCATATAAAACTGGCATCAGGGTATGTAAAAGAGTTTCACAGTGGCCTACTGAGCCTGCAGCATGTCACCTGCTGATAGGGCCGCACGGACACCGCACAGCGGGCGGCGGCGCCTACCATTTCAGCGAAGATACAGCCGATGCTCCAGACGTCGACGGCCACCAAGTAGACCTTGCTGCCGAGCAGGATCTCGGGCGCGCGGTACCACAGCGTCACCACCTCGTGCGTGTACGTGCGCGCCGGCACGCCGAACGTGCGCGCCAAGCCGAAGTCTGCCAGCTTCAGGTGCCCTGCGGCCACGAGAGGAGCGTTGTAGCAGAGGGCGACGCTGGCCCCGGCCGGCCCGCTCAGGCCAGGCCGACGCTGGCCCGAGCGAGCCGGCCACCGGCCAGGGCCGACGCCGCGATCCGGACGGTGTGCGGTGGTGGCCGGCCGCCGGCCGTCGCGTCCGACGCCGCGATCCGGACGGTGTGCGGTGGTGGCCGGCCGTCGGCCGTCGCGTCCGACGCCGCGATCCGGACGGTATGCGGTGATGGCCGGCCGCCGGCTGTTGCGTGCGACGCCACGATCCGGACGGTGTGCGATAGTGGCCGGCCGCCGGCGGTCGCATTCGACACCGCTCCGAACGGTGCGGACGTCTGCTGACTCGCGGCATCAAAGGTACCCATTCGGCACAACTGACGACCTGGCTTTGACGCTCGCGTGTCACGCGTGAAGAGCAACACATTGCAGAGCTCCCTGTCGCCACACAGAGCTGACTCACAACAGACAGCACAGCCACCAGCCCCATCGCCATCGCGGTCGCGTAGGGCGGAGGGTCTGCCGTTGCTGCCAGCCTCCGGCGCTGCGGCGGCGGCTGCGACGGCGGCTGTGGCCTAGCGCCGGACTGACCCTGCCTGTCGATCAGCAAGTTCTGCGGCTTCAGGTCGCGGTGGAGCACTCGGTGCGAGTGGCAGTAGGCGATGCCGCGCACCATCTGCCACAGCAGGCTCTGCAGCACAGGCAGCACTCTCAGCACATGGCGCCCGCCTGTGTCGCACGGCGCACCCGCCACCGTCAGCTGTGTGTGTGTACTGTGCTGTGTGTGGTCGGCCGACGCTGGGTCGGAGTCAGACAGCCACAGGCACCCAATCACCAGCCAGTGCAGCAATCAGCAGTCGCCGCGGACAATCAGCGACTGTTCAGCAATCACTGACATGCTGCTCTTGGTCACACGATTACAGGCAACCGGTATGAACGGGTAACCACTTCCCTGCCTCCTACGTGGTTATCAATAGATCCCCGCTAGCATCATTGTTCACAGGAGAAAACTGCAACATCAGGTGTGTCACTCATGCAAGAGCACTCTGTGACGGGATGAACTTTCTGTGGACTTGCCTTAACCAGCGGCTTAGAGATGCCTTTTGGCTTGGCGAGATCCATGAACTTGCGGAGATCGTGGTTCAGATACTCAAATACCAGGTACAGTTTCTTGTCACTGTGTACAACATCTAGCAAGTCGACAATGTTGGGATGCTGGAGCTCCTTCAGCAGGGAGATCTCTCGTATGGCAGTGCTGGGGACGCCCTCACAGTCTCTGAAATAATCGCCATAGTCGACAATGTTGGGGTGCTGGAGCTCCTTCAGCAGGGAGATCTCTCGTATGGCAGTGCTGGGGACGCCCTCACAGTCTCTGAAATAATCGCCATAGTCGACAATGTTGGGATGCTGGAGCTCCTTCAGCAGGGAGATCTCTCGTATGGCAGTGCTGGGGACGCCCTCACAGTCTCTGAAATAATGTGTACAACATCTAGCAAGTCGACAATGTCGGGATGCTGGAGCTCCTTCAGCAGGGAGATCTCTCGTATGGCGGTGCTGGGGACGCCCTCACAGTCTCTGAAATAATCGCCATAGTCGACAATGTTGGGATGCTGGAGCTCCTTCAGCAGGGAGATCTCTCGTATGGCGGTGCTGGGGACGCCCTCACAGTCTCTGAAATAATGTGTACAACATCTGGCAAGTCGACAATGTTGGGATGCTGGAGCTCCTTCAGCAGGGAGATCTCTCGTATGGCGGTGCTGGGGACGCCCTCACAGTCTCTGAAATAATCGCCATAGTCGACAATGTCGGGATGCTGGAGCTCCTTCAGCAGGGAGATCTCTCGTATGGCGGTGCTGGGGACGCCCTCACAGTCTCTGAAATAATTGCCATGCTTGTGTGACTAATGCAATTGGCAGACAAGCAGCTGCAACAGGGTGTGGTGGTCAAGGCCAGAGTGTTGACTTTAGGACCTTAAGTTAGCAAGGAACAGAATACAAAAATGAGGACACCTGGTGAGAAAATGTGTGACTGCCATGCCAACATTTAATGCAAGCATAGCCTTGCAATTGAGTTTCCTCTGTGAATTAAAAAGGGAACTGGATTTGTTGTTGACCACCTGAAAACAAAGCAATCACAGAAAAATACAAGCAAACAACTTTATTGCATTGAAAACAAACCAAAGGCAAATGTCTATTGCATAAAAAAGCAAATGATGTCATGGATGGCTCAAAAGAATACACTATTTTATAATATAGAGAATCCACTTACACATCCAGACTAATCTTTTTCAAGGCCACTATTTTACCAGTCTCTTTGTCTCTTGCTTTGTACACAATACCATATGTCCCTTCACCAATCTTCTCTATCTTCTGGAATTTCTCCATTTCAGCTACTGGTGTTTGCAGCTTTGAGGGCCAGGCTGCAATGTGATGCTTCAGTGACTGCTTGATGACTTCACATTACTTAATCAGTGTGATATGATATGCTATGTTCATTGGAATGACTTGAATCCCATATCACAGACTGGTGCCTATTTTCAACTTTATGTCCACAGTTTCACAGCACCACTCCAATCCAGCTGCAACCTGAAGCATAATACTGTTTTAAGTCTCATGTCTCAGGGTGGTGTCTTATGTCCCATGTCTCACATCTTCAAGTCTCAACACATTGTCCCATGTACATCAGGGAAAACACCATTGGGAAGCCTGAAATTGAGATCTGCATGTATACACAGAAACTATATGTAAAGGAAACTGCTGTCAACTTCATGTAAAACTATAACTATATGTAAACCATACTGCATATAAAAGAAGCTATTGTAATTTTTTTCAAAAACTGAGCATGATTCATTTAAAAACACCCCTGTAACATCCTCCCTTGCTCCCACCCACGCCAGAACAACATTTGTGTTCAGGATCTTTTATAGTTGAGCCAAAGTTGATGAACCCATTTTGAGACACAGCAAATAGGAATGCCTTAATCCTTTCACACAGCCCACAAAGAACCTTTAACTAGCAATGCACATATAGAAACTGATACAGCATTAGCAATGATCACTCAACTTCCTGCAAACAAATGACATCTGGAACAGTCATGACTCAACCCAGAAAGTCATGACAGTCAACAGCCAGTATGACCTTTAATGGACTGCAGATACCAATATTCAGGAAGATGTTGATTAGTCTCCTGCTTGCAAGATGGCCTGATAAATTTGTCCTGAGGAAAGCAATGGAGCAACATGTGGCACCTTATGGCTGATGACAATATACTTTAATTCCAAATGGTATTGAGGCAATTGCATGCCAAATTGCAGGGTTCAAAAAATGGATGACACAATATCAGGCAGCACTTGACCATAAATGGTGACCATATCTGAAAAGTAGGTTGACACAATCTGAAGCTAGACTGGATAAAGAACAGGGTGCATAAAAATACATGTATGTTCCTTAAATATAATATACATATGTACACAGAAAATCATACTGAGTACCAGTGTGAATTTTATTCTATCATGACATCTAAGTCCAATGGCTACTCTCATTTAAAAGAATCAACTCCACATGGCATCAATGTTGAGCCACTGGCTAGCAGCCACAATAATAATCGTTATGTAATCACACCACATTGCAGACATATATCGATCTACACGTTTCATCTAGATGGCAGATATAAGTGCAGACATGATCATTGGTTTACGATTAGTCCTAAAATCAAGTTTCGCTCCGGATCATAACACATGACTGGCCGAAACTTTGATCGGCGTCCCAGCCATGTTACGAATACGGTGCAACCGTCGATTGGTGACAAAAAATGGCACAAACTTGGAACCGTTGAAATAATGATACAGCTCATGGTAACTGCTACACATGAGTTACGTTGGACGTATAAACAAAGCTTGTGATCATACCACAAAATATCATCCGCATACCTCCCAAACATCTCCCATCCAAACAGTGCGCCGCGAAGCCCCCGCCATACGCGCCGAAATCGGTGATGTTTTGGCCGGTGGTGCGCTTTGCATGCACCTAGAGGTATAGCTAGTGTGTCTAAATTTTTCCCAAAAAATTAGATATTTATAAATCATCTCAAACCATAGAATGATGTAAATTATTCTTTAAAAATAATTGTTGAGATATTTTAAATTTCATATCTTGAATATAGGCTTTCTGGTAATATGTAGCCATTCAAAAGTTATAGGAAGCCTGGAGCTCAGCGGCGGGCGTGAGATTAACATCATTGGTTCGAATGGGTGTGTGCTGAGTGTCCGTCGACCTGTGCTTGGTTGAGTCATATCTAGCTCTTGTCTTGCTCGCAGCCCCCATCTTGATAATTTTCGGCATATGGAACGGTAGATGTTGGCACGTTTTTATCTGATGATGTAGGTACTTGCTTTGCGTCACAAGGTGGTTCCCTGGGGGCCGTGCTCCAGCGGTGTTGCCCCGGGATTCAGTGTTATGATGTTAGTGTTGGCTTCACAATTGTGCCCCATGCATACATAGGAGATGAGCAGAGCAGTTTCCCTGACTTGATCAAAGTGAAACATTAATTTGAGGACAGTTCTACAGAAGAATTGAGAAAAGGTGTTTAATTGCAAAGATGAAATCACCATTCATGCTGTCTTCCCTGTCTGGTATGTTAGTACACCATTAACACACCAGACAAGGATGATGGTCTGTATGATTATTCCATCTGTGATTAAAATCATGGCAATCATTGGAAACATAATATAGTATTATTTACCTATCCCAGTCTTTTAAATCTTCATTGCCCTTGCATCACTAAGCATGAGCAAGACATTAATGTTTTCCAAAGTAAATATGTGAGTTAAGGCTCTTGTTTGACTGCTTCATTGGTGTTCCAATTATTCCAGCTACTTAAAGTGCATTCACTGCACCAGATGCACATGACTTTTGAGGGTGTCAGACTTGGGCCAGGCCAAATTGTGCTGGATTTTCAAGGAATTTTTGTGTGAAAAGTGCAGAATATTTTTGCCCAAAATACCCTTGCATCATTATAACCCTCTTAAACTTTAGTACTTGGTGTACTCACAGTGGTGGTGGCTGTGACCTGAACTCAAACATCTTGAATGTATGGTGTATATGCTGTGAAATATTTGCAGTGATGTGACTGCTGTACTGGACATGTTCAGTTGAGCATATATTTTTGCAATCTGGCCAGCTGCTGGGTATACTTTTATCTAAATTCAATAGCTGTTGTAGTATTTCTGACCCCATGCCTCCATGTCAGACAGAATTCTGCTTGGGAATGCAAACAATGATGGCAATGTGAATTACAACTTATGGACCAAGTTGCATTAACCATTTTATGCACCTGTGTGTATTTTTCATAGGAATCAACACTCTTGATTCATGTCTGTATTTTGACTTCCATCAGCAAAGCATGGTGTGCCTAGTTACCCAGGCTGAAATGCAATATAATGATGCTGGCTGGTGTGCCACAAGCATGGTCATGCACATCCAATCATATTGCTGGGCCCTCTTCACATAGAGGTGACTATTTGTATGCTAACAACATGTGAAAAACATGAAAGGTCTGGGTGTGATCATGCTTGCTCAACCAGTCCGATTTTGCACCATCCGTTTTAGCGTGTTGCAAAGGTCCATTAAGTATAACTATGTGTGAAGGGCGGATGATATAAAATGCATGAAGATTATGACTGCAGCACAGCACCAGCCAGCATCAACTTGTCGTATTACAGACTGGGTTGTATCATGCCAGAGGTACATCAGTTTATCATACTGGTGATGGGGGGTGTTACTTGAGACATTAGGTATACAAATATGCTACCTACTGGCATGTGGATGTGTTATCATTGTTTGGGATATGAAACATATTGTGATCCAGAGGGAAGAGCCCTGTGTTATGATAAGGTATTGCATTAGGTATGGTGTGAAATAACCATGTGTTTCTCCCTCAGAAAATTTCAGCACAGCAACTTGTGATTCAGGGAAGTGAAATGGAATCTTGGCTGTTTGCCATACTGTGTATTATAGTTCCAGCTTCCAATGCAGGTATGCTTTCAGCCTACTCCTAATCATGCAATGCTGAAATTATCACTTTTATTCCAGCATTATACTCACTTGACAGCATTCCATTTATATGCATTTGCTGGGAGATATTGCCACATAAATTGGGTCTGTATTCCTTCATTGCTGTACATGGCATGGTATATCCAAGATGTAGGGACTAAAATCACAGCTGTATTGCTTTTTACAGGTAGTTTCATTTCCGCTGTTCTAACTACGTGTACTTGTTTGCAGCACGATGTGACAGCCCATTGCTGGAGGGCTCAGAAATGATAGCCACCTCTGCAATGAGTGGCAGAGAGGCCAAACGTGCCAGGCTGCATGGTGAGTATCAGTAATTTGTCCATTACTGCTATTTACTGTTAATGTTGGCATGAACATTTAACAATATGAAAAACTGGACAACAGAAAGGAACCTAATGAAATATTGGCTGACGGTTTGGTTTCCTTAACTATATATTGATGCATCAATATATTTGCCAGGAAATGCTTATATAGTTAATGATTTGTGATGACAGCAACAATTATAACACAATTTCTGGATACCGGAATTGCACAGCAAGCTAATGTTGTGAGCAAGACAATATTTTACCTGCTAGGCCTGTTTATTGAACTAAGAACACCCCTTGGGGATGTTATTTGTGGGTGATGCACTCCATTGTTGACAAGGTAGCAAAAATGAAAAGGTATCTGGAAATTGAAGTGACTCCACCCCCAAGGTTTGATTTGGGAACATTTGGCTTGAATACAATATTTGCCCTTGGTAGTGATGGCTGAAAGGTTAGATCCGCCTCCAGGGTTTTGTCTCCTTTGAGCTGCATATATCTGATGTGGTCAGAAGTCACTGAGGCCTGTAGCCTGTTGGCGGCGGCTGTGATCGGTGGTCTCGCCCGAGGCGGACGGTGCGTGTCGCCTCGAGCTCCTGGCTGGGACGCGTGTCTCTGTTCCAGAGAGCTCGCGCCCGGCTGGGAGCTGGTGAGCGCCGCGCCGCCCGCGACGGCGACCATGGCCGGCGTGCGCTGGGCGTTTAACGTGGCCGCGTGGGCGCCCAGTCGCGCCGAGTGGTCGGCGGCCACGCGCTGCGTGCAGCCCGAGGAGCGCGAGCGCATCAGCCGCTTCCAGTTCCGGGCCGACGCGCGCGCCTCGCTCGCCGGCCGACTGATGATCCGGCGGCTGTTCTGTCGGCACGCCGCGCTGCGCTGGTCGGCCGTGCGGCTCGGCCGCACGGACCGCGGCAAGCCCTACCTGCTGGCGGCGCCGGACGGCGGGCCGCTCCTCTTCAACGTGTCGCACCAGGGCCGCTACACGGTGCTGGCAGCCGAGCCGGCCGTCGCGGCCGCCGCCGTCGGCTGCGACGTGGCGCGCGCCGTGCGCCGGCCGGGCGCGCCGCCGCCGCAGCAGTTCTTCGCCACGATGCGCCGCCAGTTCACGCCCGACGAGTGGGCGTTCATCGCTGGGCCGGGCACCGAGCGCCAGCAGCTGGCGCGCTTCCACCGCTGCTGGGCGCTTAAGGAGAGCTTCGTCAAGGCTGAGGGCGTTGGCATCGGGTTCAGTCTGCAGCGCGTGAGCTTCGCGTGCCGGCCGGCGGCCCTGCAGCCGGACCGGCCGGCCACTGGCACCACGCTGAGCGTCGACGGCGCGCTCGAGCCGCGCTACCGGTTCGAGGAATGGCTGTTGGACGAGGAGCACGTGGTGGCGGTGGCGATCCGCGCAGAGACCGGCGCGGAGTGCGGCCCGCCGCCGGCCTTCGTCGAGCTGACGCCCGAGCAGCTGATGGAGGGGGCCGAGTACCTCACGCCCGAGGATGGGGACTGCTGTGATCGGTACATGGCCGGCCAGGAGAGGGAGGACGGGCTGTGATATGACGGGACAGCGCCAGCACAGCTGGTCGGCGGTGGAGGTGGAGGCCTGCCATGACCGGCATATGGCCAACAGGGAGAGAACCCGATGGGATCTGACAGAACAGCTTTTTCTCGACTGGTTGGCTGTTGGGAGGCCGAGGCTTTTCCACTAACTGCTGGACATGGTGAGAAGACGAATGAGCGATTCGGGACACTCGTTCGAGGAACCTTGTATGCTTTGTGAAAGACCTGGGTTGGGAACGACGCGGGATATATTGCAGCTCCGTGTGGGCGGCAGCGACGGGATGTCATCGAATACTTCTTTGCCGTGCATTGAAGGAGCATCGGCTCGCAAAAAGTTATTGGGATGGATCAGGTACTGGCCAAATGTTTTTGACATGTTTTTGATTGCTCTGAATGCAATACAAGTGGATCGCAGGTTGAGGTTCTTTCACAGCATGAGCCGTTAGGAATGATGCGCGCCAAAGTGGAGTCTTGCTGCTCACATTATTTGCCTGGAATCGTAAACTGTGATAATGGAAAACATGAGGATGCACGTCAACAGCACTCGAAGTTGGTTGTCTCAGGCTGCAACATCTCAAGCGAACCGAATGACGTCATGATCGTTCTTTACGAAGTGCTCGATCTTTTGGTGGGTTTCACACTCACCATTTTATTTTAAACTTGAAACACAAGGTCTAACTATTTTTCAGCGAACGCGCAAATCGTGATTGATGAAGGGAACAATGACTCCGTACTTTGATTTGTGCCTCGTATGTTCCGGTCTTGAAAGCAAACCGCAAAAACCGATATTAAGTGCTACGTACGAAAAGTAACTAGTCCTTTCTAAACTTTTCCGTGGAGCTGTTCGCTGTCAGTGAGGGGAGCTGCAGATCCACTCATGCCAGTCTTCATTGGCCTGCTCCGCTTCCGGCCTTTGGCGAACACCGCCGCCCTGTCAGTTGCAGCAGTGTTTGCGTGCGAGAGTGGGGCCCGGGTACTCCGGTGTGCGTGGAGGGGGGGGGGGGGGGGGGGATGCCACTGCCTTGACCGGTTGCAGCAGCTCGTGCGTGCGAGAGCGGGGTTCGGGTACTCCGGTGTGCGAGGGGGGGGGGATGCCGCTACCCTGACCGGTTGCAGCAGTGCGTGCGTGCGAGAGCGAGAGCGAGGTTCGGGTACTCCGGTGTGCGCGGGAGGATGCCGCTGCCTTGACCGGTTGCAGCAGTGCGTGCGTGCGAGAGCGAGAGCGAGGTTCGGGTACTCCGGTGTGCGTGGGGGGGGGGGGGGGGGTGGATGCTGCTGCCTTGACCGGTTGCAGCAGTGCGTGCGTGCGAGAGCGGGGTCCGGGTACTCCGGTGTGCGAGGGGAGATGCTGCTGCATTGACCGGTTGCAGCAGCGCGTGGGCGCGAGAACGGGTCCTGTACTCCGAGTCCGAACCCCAGTAATATTTGGGCAGATTGGACACGTCATCAAATGGCACCAAAACAGAAATGGAGCCCAGTAACGTTTCTTCTGTGGCTGCAGTCATGTCAGTGACACATTCATCATCGGATTCACAGAGCGCCTCTTTCTCTCACGCCGGTCAGCGCGGGCGACGGCACAACCAGGCCGTTAGCGACGCTCGAACCCGCGACTTCGCATGCAGGCGACGAACGCTCTGCCGACCGAACCGTGTCGCCGCGCGACTGGCTCCCGTGAACGCGCGGCGTTTGCGGAAGCGGCACCTGTTTTCGCACGGTGTGTGGGAATGGAGCCAGTGTATGGAGGAAGGGTCTGCGCACACACCGTGTGCACGACAGAGGTCTGCGTGTACGTCAGGGATCTACGCGCACATTGCTTTCTGCAGGGGTCTGCGCACGCACTTTGTGTGTGTGCGTGTGCGGGGTAGGGTCTGGGTGCTCCCATTGCATGCGGAGGCGGCGTCGGCACGCACACGCATGTGTACTCGGACGGCTCCGGCGCACACCGCGCACACAGTGTGCGCCGGTGTGGCCGCCGGCGGACGCGACTTGCTGGTCGGGCCGTGACTCACCGAGCGTGCGGCGTCGGCCCGTATTTGGTGGGCGGACGGTTGACGGGTGAGCGGGCGCCGTGCCGACCTCGCGCCGGCCGACCGGGCGGCACGCGCACGCACTCGGCCCCGGACGGCCGGCCCCCGCTCCCTGCCGCCGGCTGAAAGGCCGCCACGTCACGGGCGTGATCGGCAGCCCCAGACGGCCGGAAACGGTCGGCGGGGTGGATTGGCTCGGCGCGTTGGATTTGGAACAGGCTGAAACAGGTGCTTTTGTCCTCCTGCGCGGCGACAGGTGGTAGGGGTGAAAGCCGAATGGAAATAGCTGTTCGGCCTCGCTGTTAACAAATCCACCTGTGACAGTTAGACAGGCTGTTGTTTTATTGGTCGCAGCATTGCACTGAGTGCGTAAAGAAGTCCGAGCTAATCAGCCAACGGCGTACTTGCGGCACACTTAAAGTGGGCAAATGGAGCTTACTTTCTGTGCATTTCCTTCCAGTCACTCTTACGTGTCAGGCTTGAGGAAATGCACAGAGCAATATCCGGTATTCCTTTCCACCAGCCCAGGCACCGTTGACATTCGTCAATCAGAACCCGGATGTCTTTTGCGGAAGTGGGCAGCCTAATCCTCTAACATCTGTAAACCCTGCAAAACCCACAACAACTTTTTGTCGAGCCCCACCTCGGCCCACGTCACGATCGTGTCCAGCGGCCGCCGTGCTGGGTCCGCCTCGCCCGCTGTGTCCGGCCCACACCAGGCTCAGGGTGTGCACCCATCCCCGGTCTGTGCCGCTTTGACCGCGTGCCTTGTGTCTGTCCCGAACCCGGTCTGCTCGCTCTGACACGTGCCCTGTGTTTGTCCGACCCCCGCCTGCCCGCTCTGACTGCGTGCCCTGTGTCCGTCCGACCCTGGTCTGCCCGCTCTGACTGCGTGCCTTCTGTCTGTCCGACCCCAGTCTGCCCGCTCTGACCACATACCCCGTGTCTGTCCGACCCCGGTCTGCCCGCTCTGACTGCGTGCCTTGTGTCTGTCCCTACCGCGGTCTGCCCGCTCTGACTGCGTGCCCTCTGTCTGTCCGACCCCAGTCTGCCCGCTCTGACCACATACCCCGTGTCTGTCCGACCCCGGTCTGCCCGCTCTGACTGCGTGCCTTGTGTCTGTCCCGACCCCGGTCTGCCCGCTCTGACTGCGCGCCTTGTGTCTGTCCGACCCCGGTCTGCCCACTCTGACCGCGTGCCCTGTGTCTGTCCCAATCCCAGTGCGCCGCCTGATCGCACGCCCTCGTAGTGTTGCGGTGCGTGCATGCAACATTGCGTGTACATTGCAATTTTGCAACACTTCCATACATTTTTTGCTCTCTGGGGTGTTCTTGTGCCTGCGAAAACAATGGAAGTGGTTCGAGGGCTTCACAATGCTTCGTTTAACTGTAAATCGGTCTTGTAATATTCTGCTATTGTTGCAACCATTTTTAATTTCATCACTGGACAGTTTGGAGCCTCCTAGATCGTCGATGGTGTGCATTTCGTTCTTTGATATCACCCCGTGACATCGTTATGACAGTATGACAATACACATCAGACAGTAGTATATCAGGATGACCGTATGGCATGTGACATGACAACAAACCGACCGGTCTGCAACGAACACTTCACTCAGTAGCGTTTTGCATCCCGCGCTTCGTTTAGGACTATACACAGTTGTGAGGCTGGCCGGTTTGTAGTCAGGCACAGAGGTCACTTCGCTGCTCAGGAGCAGACCTGAGGTTGAGGTAAGGACGTAGCGACTTTCGAGGGAGCGTGTGTGAGGGGAGGGGATTCTTCCCATATTATGATCGTGTGACATGGGTGTGGTCATGTCACACCCTGCAGAGCATTGCGCCTGTTTTTCTGTCGCTCTGTTTCAGGCTTCAGCCATTGGCTGGCTGGAGTCGTAATATCAATTCGTCCACTCCTTCCGCACCCGACCTGCAGTTGCTCCCGCTTTTTCCCATAATTCACCGACTTTCGTGGTACTAACCGCATTCGCTTCCACTCTCACAATACGCCGCATTCATTCTGCATATCTGTAATCAACTTCGACCCCACCATTTCACCCTTTAGGCCCCTTAAGTGGTACGCGGGGTCGGGTTGAATGCTGTTCCCTAGAATTCTGCCAATTGTGTCTTTGAGAACCTCACCGGCAGGCCTCACATTACTTTCCGTCCTTTTCCAAAACGTCAGGCTGTTGCACACGAAGGGTGTGGTAGTCATTCGGGTAAAGGGACAATAGCGCACAGTTAAGACGTTATTGCCTTCTGACCCAGGGCGGCGTCTCATCCCTAGTATCGCCCGGATCGTGTCCGTGGCCTTAAGAACAGCCTACCTTCCCAATGTCAACCGTACGGTGACGTCCTGGCTGGGATCCTTATGCCGGCTTCGCCGAGCACATCCTTCGTATACGTCTTAACGAAAACTTTGTGACGACTTCGCCGAGTCGCACCTTCACTAACGGACAATGGGCACCTTTCCTGTGATATGAGATCCTTTGTGATTTCTTTCAAGCCCACATGAATAGGTGCCTATTTGCCATCCTACTTTTGGTCAATGCGCATCCCCCTGTGAATTTACGAGCCCCCTGAAAGCTATGGTGACAGTTTTCCTTTGTTGATGTCTGGGCGCATGGTCTGTTTGGTCGCAAGGTTCTTGCATCTTTTATCCGGCGTCTAGGTGCTCCATTAACGCGTAGCCCACGAAAAACGTTATGATTCGTGAAATAAAATATCGCAATCACACTGAATAATTCCTTGGTTTGTCATGCCATTTGAGCATTCCTAGTCGCATCGTTTCCCGTTGATGAAACCCAGTCGCGCGTCTTGTTTTCAAACGCCAGGCGTGAATTTTGTTTTGCGAGTGCTTCCCCTGACGCTGCTTTTTGCGAGTGCGTTTCTCTGAGCTCATGCCGTGTGTGCCGCAGGCGACGGCGCGTGGACGTCCCGCTTCTCCAACGTAGGCCAGAGCGTGACGGTGGACTTGGGCGAGGTGTACCGGATCACGCGGGTGGCCACGCAGGGCCGCGCCGCCTCCAGCGAGTGGGTCAGCCAGTACGGGCTGCAGTACGGCTTCAACGGCCGCGACTTCATGGACTACCGCGGTCCGCACGGCGGCGCCTGGGTACGTAGAGCGCGCGGCGCGCTGGCCGCGGCTTCTGCCCGCAGGGCAAGGGTGCCATGGGAGGCTTTTGCAGACAACGTGCGGCGCTGGCCTTCGGCGGGTCGCACAGTTCGCGGATGTCCCTTCCTTCTTGGCCGTAGTGTGTTCCGTTCGTGTGAACGCGGGCATCGGCCACGGCGCTGGCTCGGCGAGCGGTTCTGGCACTGCGGCGGGGCTGCTGGTACTCTGTGGCGTTTGGGCAAGTGCAGCGCCTGACGGCATCGTGCCTGGACCGGTCCTCTGCAGCTGTGGTATCGGTGGGCCGATGTGTGCACGGCGGCGCGCCGTGACCAGCCGGGGTGCCGCCGGCGGCAGCCCCCGCCTGGCGACAGGTGGGGCCTGCAACATCTGCAACACCTAACAAATAGCCCATGCAATGCAAATAGCCTGGCCTGCAAACCTATGGAAATAGGCTGCGTTGCCGTTGTAGTTCTGGCTGGTATTCTGTGCAGCTTTTGTCTTGCTGTTCATACCCGGTTACCTTGTGCTTTTTTGTCTGCAGCTGTGTGCGCGAGCGCTCAGTTTTGTGATATCTGTAGATCCGTAGCTGGTATGCAGACAGCGTGCCGCGGGGCCATTTTGTTGGCGCCGAAATTTGCCGCCAGTGTTTGCTTTGAATCAGTGCTTTTGCATGAACTGTTTGCTGGGAATGGGCGGACCCTCTTTCAGAGCTCAGTAGCAACACACTTACGTTGTTACTGAGCCGGTGCGGAACTAGCCAACTAAGTGGCTCGAACTGTTGTGTGCTTCTCCCCAGCCCTTGAGTTAAACAGCTGACTGGCCCAGCGACGGCGTCACACCACACCACCACGCAGCGGCATTGTCATACCCTGTAACTCCACGAATCGGCTGCCCGCGCGTGTGTTCCAATCTCCCCCAGCGAGCGTGCCAGCCGCCCGGCGAAGATGTAGCGCAGGACGGCCGGCGCCGCTGCCGACGAGTCCACCCATTGTGTGCGCTCACCGACTGCTTGTCTCCATTCGCTGACATCCCGCACGACTCGCGCGTAGTATTTGTCGTATTTCACGTCCGTTATCATATGATGTCCGATATCGGGCCGCCTGCGATGAAAAGGACACTTGTATCGTGGCTGATGCTTTCGATGCGTTACGTTTTGGCATGTGGACTGCGGCATGTCTGGTGTTTTTTCTTCTAAAAACGTCAGTGTGAGGGTTCATTATCCTTGGATATCACATGCATTACAGTTGGCGTCCGGTCAGGAGCCAATGGCGTCTCGCACCACGCCTTCCCCCTAGCCGTCCCACCGCTCTCTGGCTTCCCTCACATGTGAAGTGTCCACGAGGGTGGCTCGTCCCCTTGCGTGTGTCGGGTGGCCGTGATCCCGGCCCCGCCGGGGCGAGGCCGGCGGCGGTCGCCTGCCGTCAGCGGCGCCAGGCCCCTGAGCCACGGCCCGACCGCGCCGCAGGAGTTCCGGGGGAACAGCGACGGCGACTCGGTGGCCTCCAACCGGCTGGAGACAGCCGTGGTGGCCCGGTTCGTCCGGCTGCGCCCCACCAGCTGGGAGGAGCGCATGTCGCTCCGGCTGGAGCTGTACGGCTGCACATACAGTAAGCAGCCGGCCGCGCTGCCATTCACTTCATGTTAGAGAAGCACCACTGGCGACACGCGGCCAGTGGTGACTACTGTTGCCAGGGGTATATTGTGTAACGGGTACTTTAGGCGGTTATTCGCAGGAGAAAACGTACGTTGGGAACGTAACAAAATTTGTCATGATGCAATATACGGTAAGATATGAAGCAGATTGATACACACCCTGCGTTTAGTTCTGTTACAGTGTGTCTGAAGGGATAGTATTTGGAACGCCTTCCTGATTGCCGGTGTGCCATCCTCCGGTGCAAATTGACCAGGGCGACTGAGCGACATGCTCTGGTGTCGGTATGGGCTCCGTGGAAGCGGACGTTTTTCTGTGTTGCTGGTGATTTGAGAGCTCTTGCCGCAGACGCCGTCACTATGTCCTTCAACGGCAACGCGTTCGTAGAGAAGAATCTCACTGTACACCAAGTGCACTCCATGTACGACAGAATCCAATTCAGGTAACCGAAAGCAGGAAATGTGGGGTATGATATGTGAGCCAACCGTTGCAACCGTTTGGGGTGGCCGGATGAGCTATGCTGCTCAGCACAAAATAACGTGTGCTGTGGCGACCGCTGCTGGTGTGTGTATGTCGGCGCTCTCCGTTTGGTGTGAGCGTCACATAATAAGCCGTCGCGGATCACGGCGGAAGCCCTGGAGCCACGCCGGTGTCTGTCTGCCTTTGTCGTCGTCACCCCGCGCGTCGGCCGGCGTTTTAAGCCGGCAACTGAGACGGGCCGCGGCTCTGCTGGCCGCCAGGTTCCGGACAGCCCAGCCCAACGGCGTCATGCTGTACAGCCACGGAGCCCAGGGTGACTTGCTCGCGCTCCAGTTGGTGGAGAACAAGCTGCGCCTGCAGATAGATCTGGGTACGACCGCCGGCTGTGCTCTGCACTGCGCTGTGCGGACCGTCTCTCTCTCTCTCTCTCTCTCTCTCTCTCTCTCTCTCTCTCTCTCTCTCTCTCTCTCTCTCTCTCTCTCTCTCTCTCTCTCTCTCTCTCTCTCTCTCTCTCTCTCTCTCTCTCTCTCTCTCTCTCTCTCTCTCTCTCTGTCTCTGTCTCTGTCTCTGTCTCTGTCTCTGTCTCTGTCTCTGTCTCTGTCTCTGTCTCTGTCTCTGTCTCTGTCTCTGTCTCTGTCTCTGTCTCTGTCTCTGTCTCTGTCTCTGTCTCTGTCTCTGTCTCTGTCTCTGTCTCTGTCTCTGTCTCTGTCTCTGTCTCTGTCTCTGTCTCTGTCTCTGTCTCTGTCTCTGTCTCTGTCTCTGTCTCTGTCTCTGTCTCTGTCTCTGTCTCTGTCTCTGTCTCTGTCTCTGTCTCTGTCTCTGTCTCTGTCTCTGTCTCTGTCTCTGTCTCTGTCTCTGTGTCTGTCTCTGTCTCTGTCTCTGTCTCTGTCTCTGTCTCTGTCTCTGTCTCTGTCTCTGTCTCTCCGTCTCTCTGTCTGTCTCTCCGCTCTCCGCACTTTCACTTTCTGGGGTGTGGTCTTGTCCTGTGGGCTGGGGCAGCTTCGTGGGATGGTTACGTGACAACAATACTCCTTTGTACGACGGTGGGTCGACATGGTAGGCGTATGCATTTGTCGGCTGCGGGACGATTGCCAGCTGAGCCGAATATGTTCAGCGATACCTGAGGTGCTATGTCCCTGCTGGGCCAGCGTCATCAGCTCCCCCCCTCTCCAGGCTCACTGACCAGCTCCCCCCCCCCCCCCCCCCGGTAGGCTCCGGTCAGCTGACCAACTCCTCCCCCTGGCAGGGTCCAGCCCACTGACCAGCCCTCTCCCCCCCCCCGCAGGCTCTGGTCAGCTGACCAGTCTGTCGGTCGGCTCGCTGCTCGATGATCACCTGTGGCATGACGTGGCCATTGAGCGGCGTGAGCGCGCGCTCAGTCTCACCGTGGACCGGGTCCGAGTCAGCACGGAGGTCAGCGGCGACTTCCGACGGCTCGACCTGACCAGCCAGGTGCGCGCGGCGGCCGGCGGCGGCGCTCCGGCGGTGGCGCTCACCGTCCGACGGCACCGTTGGCCGCAGACGATGGTTTTCTGGTGGTGCTGATACCACGTGGAATATGCAGGTGTTGGCCTAGGAGTCTCTCCTGCGACGGCGGTAGCCTCTCAGGGGGGGGGGGGGGGGGGGGCGGGGTTCTTGCGATGGCAGTTGCTGTTTCGTCACGATACGCGGGCTTCCGTTTCGTGCCGGTTCGTTTCCTGATCTGTGATCGGGTTCCAGCTCTACCTCGGCGGCGTGCCGTACATCAAAGAAGGCGTCGTGGTGTACAGCAACTTCTCCGGCTGCATTGAGAATTTCTACCTGAACAACTCAAACTTTATCGCCGAGCTGCGTGACGGCAATCAGGACTACAGCAGCTTCGGCGGGGAGTACAACTGCCCGGTGCGCTTAGCTGGCTCGCCGTCCGGTCTGGGCCACAAGGGCTTGCACGGATCGGCCAGTATTCTCATTATATTTGCTTGTGACACTTATTGGCTTCTTGTCAACACCATAAGTGTTGCTGTAGAAATATTGTGTTCGCGATTTGTTTCACTTGTTCCAGTTGTTGCCTTCATCTTCCACAGTTTAGCATTGCTTAGCTACCGTTGCTAGGCTCCAAACACATAGTTCAAGATGGCTTCTTAAGTCAAGGCAGGCTTATAAGGGTATTAATAAATTGATCAGGTGACTCCATGTTGATCGGCGGCTGTTGCTCGCTAAGCCGGCATTGTGATGACGTGCTGCGGCGTCGGCACCGGCCATGCGCCCGCCGGTCCGCCACCGTCCGGCCGCTCCACGCAGTATCGAGCCGTGCTCTATTGACCCCCGTCCGATGATCGGCTGACCTCTCCCCCCCTTCCGCAGGCGGTGCACACAGTGCCGATGACCTTCAAGGATCGGTCGGCCTATATCAAGGTCGACGGAAACGAGGGTCAGACGCAGCTGAACATTTCGTTTGGGTTCCGCACGTATGAGGAAGACGGCGTCATGGCCTTCCACAAGTTTCTTAGCTCTGGATACGTGAAGGTAATAATCTTACGATGTACGCGCATTTACTCGTTCTCTGATCACTTGCAGCTGTTGACTTTCCTGAAGACGTGACTGGTATGCTGTACAGTGGATATTGCCTTCTAATCGCCCCAGTATCTAGTATGGCACGTGCTGGCACTGGTTGGCAAGCACTGGGTCTTAGCAGTTGCCAGCCAGTCCCAGCCTTTGAGCGTTTCAGGTAGCAGGCAGATGTTAAGCGCAGGCTTTATGTTTCTCCGTTTTCCGTCATGTTCACTTCTCTTCCTGTGGCATGCGTACATTCAGGTCCCGACTGATGGTCGGCCCGCGTGTCCGCCAGCAGCCTGCTCGGCCGGCTCTGGGGCGGGTAGCACAGCGGGGCTGATGGTCGGCCTACGTGTCCGCCAGCAGCCCGCTCGGCCGGCTCTGGGGCGGGTAGCACAGCGGGGCTGATGGTCGGCCTGCGTGTCCGCCAGCAGCCTGCTCGGCCGGCTCTGGGGCGGGGTAGCACAGCGGGGCTGATGGTCGGCCTACGTGTCCGCCAGCAGCCCGCTCGGCCGGCTCTGGGGCGGGGTAGCACAGCGGGCTGATGGTCGGCCTGCGTGTCCGCCAGCAGCCCGCTCGGCCGGCTCTGGGGCGGGGTAGCACAGCGGGCTGATGGTCGGCCTGCGTGTCCGCCAGCAGCCCGCTCGGCCGGCTCTGGGGCGGGTAGCACAGCGGGGGGAGAGTTCCCTCCTCGCCGCTTGATGCGGAGAGTGGCGGGGCTCGAGTCGGGCTGCCGGCCGGAGTTCCGGCACCGTCGCACCGATCGGCCGGAGGCACATCTGATGTCGACGCTCGACGAGCAGAGTGATGCCAAACGCGTAGTAACGCCGCCCACGTGACTGGCCTGGCTTCTGAGCACGGCTGCACCGTGTGCCGTGTGGTGCGGTGATTCGCTCTTGAGACGACTCTCCGCGGCGGCAGGTGTACCTGCAGAAGGGTCGCTTCAACGTGGCCATCCTGACGGACGGTCTGAAGCAGCCGGTGGTGCTCGACCCGTTCGAGGGCCTCTACAACGACGGCAGCTGGCACGCGGTCACCGTGGCGCTGGCCGAGAACAGCGCCGTCACCGTCATCGACGGCTACCCCATGTACACGCGCCGGCTGATGCGGTTCACCTCGGGCGTCGAGTACCTGTTCGGCGGTGAGTGGCGCTCGGAGCGGCCGCCGCCTCGCGCCACGCCGGCGGCCCGCGGGGCGGCGGCGGTGCTGTCGGTCGCGCGCCGGCGCGGTGGTCTGCCGTGTGCGCGGGCCGCCGTCGGTGCCGTCTCGTCCGGCCGGGCTGTTCTAGCCGTGACAGGTGCGCGAACAGAGGAGTGCGTGGTCTGGCGGCCGCGAGCCTGTGCCTGGCTGATTGTCCAGTCGAGTGGGACGTGGAAAGGCCGTGTTTGTATTAATCAGCAGTCTGAGTCGTCTTGTTGGGTCTGGAGACTGTTGGTCTGTTGGACAGGTGGCTTGTCTGGAGCGGAGAATCTGGGCTTCCTGGGCTGCATGAGGAGGTTCTCGGCTGGCGGTGGCCAGCACAGCCCACTCGCCCTGGGACCACAGGTAACCTGGACGGGCCGTGGGACCGCAGGTAACGTGGATGGGCCGTGGGACCGCAGGTAACTTGGATGGGCCGTGGGACCACAGGTAACGTGAATGGGCCGTGGGGCCACAGGTAACGTGGACGGGCCGTGGGAGCACAGGTAACGTGGACGGGCCGTGGGAGCACAGGTAACGTGGACGGGCCGTCGAGCCACAGGTAACGTGGACGGGCCCTGAGACCACAGGTAACGTGGGCGGGTCGTGGGACCGCCGGTGACGTGGGCGGGCCATGGGATCGCGGGTAACTTGGACGGGCCGTGGGACCACAGGTAACGTGGATGGGCCGTGGGACCACAGGTAACGTGGACGGGCCGTGGGACCACAGGTAACGTGGACGGGCCGTGGGACCACAGGTAACGTGGGCGGGTCGTGGGACCGCCGGTGACGTGGGCGGGCCATGGGATCGCGGGTAACTTGGACGGGCCGTGGGACCACAGGTAACGTGGATGGGCCGTGGGACCACAGGTAACGCGGGCGGGCCGTGGGACCACAGGTAACGCGGGCGGGCCGTGGGACCACAGGTAACGTGGATGGGCCGTGGGACCACAGGTAACGCGGGCGGGCTATGGGACCACAGGTAACGCGGGCGGGCTATGGGACCACAGGTAACGTGGATGGGCCGTGGGACCACAGGTAACGTGGATGGGCCGTGGGACCACAGGTAACGCGGGCGGGCCGTGGGACCACAGGTAACGCGGGCGGGCTATGGGACCACAGGTAACGCGGGCGGGCCGTGGGACGGCCGGTGACGCGGACGGGCCGTAACCGACCGCACGCGCCGCCGTTCACCTGACACGTACAAACTGTAGCGCATGGCGTGTTTTTTCCGTTTGGCGGCCTCTCAGTTTTGACGGACAAACTTTTCAGTAAAATGTTGAGTACTTTGTTTTCCTGTAGGCACTGACTTACGTGATCACGTATGAGTAAAACATTCGGATCCAGGAATCCGGCTTCCCCCTCCAACCCCCACCCCCACCCTTAACCCACCCCGGACGTAACGGGGTGCCGCCTGTGACCACAGAACAAGTTCAACGCCCGCTACCTGCTGATCGACGCGTGCGACATGGAGGACCGGTGCAACCCGAACCCGTGCGAGCACGGCGGCGTGTGCAGGCAGAGCTCGGTCGAGTTCTCGTGCGACTGCCGCGGCACGGGTTACGCCGGAGCCGTCTGTCACGCCAGTGAGTGCGGTCGCCAGCGCCGCCAGCTGCTCGGTCGGTGCGGCAGGGCGCCGCTAGCAAATCTGGGAGGGCGTTCGGCGCCAGTGGGTCACAGAGCCAAGATTCTAAGGAGCTGCACGCTCCTTAGAATCTTGAAGGGCATCCGTCCTTGCTAGGCTGTGGCTGGCCTGCGCTTTGTGTGCGTGCCAGTGCCCGACCAGCCGCGTCGGTGGCGTCAGCGACGCCCTCTCGCGGACGCCGGCGCGCTGCTTCCCGCCGTTCAGAGCTTGCCGGTGACCCGTGAATACGCTCGCTTGCCTGTGAAGTGCACCGCGTCGTAAATTCCTCAACGAGATCCAGTTTTCATTGGAATGGGTCACGACCCGCCGCGCCCGCTCTGTCGCGCCACTCACACCCCCGTCTCCGTCTCGGCAGCGACAAACCCGCTGTCGTGCGCGCAGTACTTCCTCATCAGCCGGTCAGAGCGGCGGTCGCGCGTGAAGATCGACGTGGACGGTTCCGGCCCGCTGCCGGCGTTCCCTGTGACGTGCGTGCGCACGCCCGAGGGCCAGATGGAGACACATCTCGAGCACGACGTGCGCGGTGATCAGCTGGTGGACGGCTTCGAGCGGCGCGGCAGCTTCGTGCAGGACGTGACGTACGAGGCGGACATGCGCCAGGTGAGGGGTTGCCGGCCCGTGTCGTGTCGTGACCGCGGGACCTCGCGTTCACGTCCGGTTCACGTGCTGATGTATTTGACGCGCAGGGGCGGGGATGTGGCTTCTTCAGATGCTAATGCGGCCAGTTTTTGGCGCAGGCCGTGCTGCTGACTCGTCCTGCCCCACTGATGCCGGTGGGTACTTGGTCCTCGGTTCTCGGTCCGTACCCACTAACGCCGGTGGGTACCCGCTCCGTACTCGCTGACGCCGGTCGGTGCTCTGTCCGTACCCACCGACGCCGGTCGGTGCTCTGTTCGTACCCACCGACGGCGGTCGTTCCTCTGTCCGTACCCACCGACGCCGGTCGATGCTCTGTCCGTACCCACCGACGGCGGTCGGTGATCTGTTCGTACCCACCGACGCCGGTCGGTCCCCTGTCCGTACCCACTGACGCCGGTCGGTCCTCTGTCCGTACCCACCGACACCGGTCGGTCCTCTGTCCGTACCCACCGACGCCGGTCGGTCCTCGGTCCGTGCTGTCGACGCAGCGCCCTCTCTGACGCCGTGTTCCGCCCCCGGCAGGTGGAGCGGCTGGTGAACGGCTCGCTGAGGTGCCGGCAGGAGCTGTTCTACGCGTGCCGCCGCTCGCGCCTGCTCAACACACCCGTCCGCCAGGACGAGCTGTTCGAGCCGTACTCGTGGTGGGTGTCGCGCCACAACGAGGTCATGGACTACTGGGGCGGCTCGCAGCCGGGCAGCCGCAAGTGCCAGTGCGGCATCCTCAAAACCTGCGTCGACCGCACCAAGCACTGCAACTGTGACTCCGGTGGGTGCCGCCCGCCGCCGCCGCGCGCGCGCTCCGATCTGTCGACCCCGTGTACAGCCGGCTGGGTGTAGAGTGGTCGGCTGGCCATGAGGCGTTCAGTTACACGATTTCACAGCACGGTGTAGTCCTATCTGCGGGTTTGCGTTAATGTATTGACCACGTGGCGATCATGGGGGAACCGGTCGTGGAAGCGTTCTTGTCTCTGACGATAATATCCCGCATCATCAGGGGCGTGCTGGTCTGGCCGCCGTGTTCTGGCGTGGTCTGGCCGCCCTGTTCTGGCGTGGTCTGGCCGCCGTGTTCTGGCGTGGTCTGGCCGCCCTGTTCTGGCGTGGTCTGGCCGCCGTGTTCTGGCGTGGTCTGACCGCCCTGTCCTGGCGTGGTCTGACCGCCCTGTTCTGGCGTGGTCTGACCGCCCTGTTCTGGCGTGGTCTGGCCGCCCTGTTCTGGCGTGGTCTGACCGCCCTGTCCTGGCGTGGTCTGACCGCCCTGTTCTGGCGTGGTCTGGCCGCTGTGTTCTGGCGTGGCCTGGCCGCCCTGTTCTGGCGTGGTCTGATCGCCCTGTTCTGGCGTGGTCTGACCGCCCTGTTCTGGCGTGGTCTGGCCGCTGTGTTCTGGCGTGGTGTGGGCGCCCTGCTCTGACGTGGTCTGGCCGCCGTGTTCTGGCGTGGTTTGGGCGCCCTGCTCTGTCGAGGTCGGGCCGCCCTGGTCTGTCGGGGTCGACCGCCTTGTGTCGGACCGTGCCACCCTGGCGTGCTGTGACGTGTCGCGTCTTCGCCAGGCCGGGCCGCCGAGACGTCGGACGGCGGCGACCTGATGTTCAAGGAGCATCTGCCCGTGCGGCAGCTGCGCTTCGGCGACACGGGCTCACCGGGCGACTCGAAGCGCGGCATCTTCCGGCTGGGCAGCCTGGTCTGCGAGGGTGACGGTCAGTGGAACTCAAACCCCGGGCTGCGGGGCTGACGGTCAGTGGAGCTCAAACCCCGGGCTGCGGGGGTGACGGTCAGTGGAGCTCAAACCCCGGGCCTCGAGGGTGACGGTCAGTGGGGCTCAAACCCCGGGCTGCGGGGCTGACGGTCAGTGTAGCTCAAACCTCGGGCTGCGAGGGTGACGGTCAGTGGAGCCCAAATTTCGCCGGGATCGCTACGCGGCACGTCGGCTCGCTTGCCTGTGTGCTCGGCTGTGAAGCCGCGGAGGCGGTGTGGAGCTGACGGCATTACGCTCGCCGCAGCCATCTTCGATAACACGGTGACGTTCCGGATCGCGGACGCCATCATCGACCTGCCGTCCATCGACATGGGCTTCAGCGGCGACATCTACTTCGAGTTCAAGACCGCCAAAGAGTCCGGCACCTTCTTCCACATCGAGGGCCCCCAGGACTTTTTGAAGGTCTCTATTGAGGGTAAGCACTGACTTTGTGTTTGATGTCATTGGCATCAGAAATGCAGCGGCGTACAACGACGAGGAGCGATGTAGAAAAGGCGCAGGAATGTGAACTATTGGTGATTCAATAGTCGGGCCATCATTGCCCACATTAGGTGGCTTGGGCTCGGAAGTACTAATGCATACGAAATGATCAGCGTTGGTTTCATTTTGTGTCCGGCGGGCCGTGTCGATAGGGCTTCAAATGAGACTCGTGTCAGCTGTGCATGAGCGATTTGAGCGACCCCGTGTCGTACTAGGCTCGCCTGATCGTGTGCCGCGATGTGACCCAGGCGGCAACGTGATCCAGCTGAAGTACGGGGTGGGCGGAGTGCCGCTCAGCGTCTCGGTCGGGGTCAGCAGCCGCCTGAACGATGACAGCTGGCACACAGTGCTGATCGAGCGCAACCGCAAGCAGGGCCGCCTGCTGCTCGACAACGCCATCGCACGCGAGGTGGCCGAGCCGGCCGGGCCCGTGCGCTCCATGCGCTTCACGTCAAAGCTAGTGGTCGGTACGTGCCGTGTCAGAACTGGAGGGGGCATACTGATCGGTTCAGAATTGGGGCTCCGTGATTACTTGGTCAGAACTGGAGGGGGGAGCACACTTATCAGGCTAGAACTGGGGGTCGTTGCTCACTAGGTCAGAACTAGGGATCGATATGTGTCGGGTCATAGCTGGGGTAAGCGCTGGCCTTCGGTCTCCCAGCACAGCAGATGCTGAGAGCCCGTGCTGGCTCGTGCTGACACCGCGGAGGCCGCTGACGGCATCTGGGCCCCGCGACCCGCGCTGTCCGCCAGGGAGTTAGCGCTCCATGACGCCACCGCGCCTCCGGCCTGCCTTCGCAGGCGCCAACACCAATTACCGGAACGGCTTCGTTGGCTGCATGCGCGCGCTGATGGTGAACGGCCAGCTGCAGAACATCAAGTACCTGGCCGAGCACGGCTGGCACGGCGGCCCGCTGTACGGCCTGTCGGCCGGCTGCCAGGGCAAGTGCGCCAGCGCGCCCTGCCTCAACAACGGCACCTGCGTCGAGGGCTACTCCGACTACACGTGCAACTGCCGCTGGACGGCCTTCAAGGGCCCGATCTGCGCCGACGGTGGGTGCCGGCGCTGGCCGCCTGTGTCGGGGCTCCGCCCGCGGTGCGCCCTGCCCACCGCGGACCGCCGGCCGGTGTGGGACGGATCGCAGGTCACGGTGATTCCCCTGGTGGGGTCGTGTCCGGCGGGGCGATGGCAGATTCGTGTCTTGCTGATGCTGGTTGTTGAGCTATGTCGGCAGAGGGGATGCTCTGCGCGCGTGCGTGCGTGTTGTTCATTTGAACGGGGATAACTTCATTACTTTGACCCTTGCCGTTCTGACATGACTCCTGATCCACGCCAACAGTGACAGTTTTGTCGGCCATGTTTGTCCGGCGCAATGTTGCTATCCGTGCCGTCGGAGTTGACCTTGTGACCTGTCGGGCTTTGACACGGCGCCTGCTGGTCCGGTTCTGTTCCGACATGACGTCATTGCCGGCGTCGGCAGAGATCGGTGTCAGTCTGAACCGCGACTACATGATCAAGTACGAGCTAGAGGGAAGCTACAAGACCACCATCTCCGAGAGCATCCGCGTGGGCTTCACCACCACCAGCCCGTCCGGCTTCCTGCTCGGCCTCCACTCCGACATCAGCAAGGAGTACATGACCATCATGGTCTCCAACAGCGGTCAGTCGGCGGTGACCGGGCCCGCGCGCTGGCCACTCGGACTCACGCGGGTCCCAACGCTTACGTCCTCTGTTGATGTACTCGGTGTTGCAGTTATTGCACGCGTTCAATGAGCCATTGGGCGACAGTGAGCGTCATAGCTGCAGGATTCTGTTTTTATGTTGCGAGCTGCTCAGTACGCGGTCCCGAGCTGTTTACGGTCTTTGCAGACTATGTGCAATCCCTGCAGACTGTGTGCAGACCATGCAGACTATGTGCAGTCCCTGCAGACTATGTACAGCCCTTATAGACCATTGGCAGTCTCTGTAGACTGTGTGCGGTCCCCACAGACTGTGTGCAGACCATGCAGACTATGTGCAGACCATGCAGACTATGTGCACTTCCTGCATTCCATGTGCAGCCCCTGCAGACTTATTTGTTATCGTTCGCTCGATCTCACCACAGCCATCCGTCGGTTGGCAGACTCCTCTCCCAACCACATCAGTTGCTCGCCCGGCCTCCAACCGCCAGGCCACATCTCACCGGCGCCGCTGTCGCTGGCCTCGCCCTCCTCTCCGCGCGCCAGGCCACATCTTACCGGCGCCGCTGTCGCTGGCCTCGCCCTCCTCTCTGCGCGCCAGATCACATCTCTCCGGCGCCGCTGTCGCTGGCCTCGCCCTCCTCTCTGCGCGCCAGACCACATCTCACCAGCGCCACTGCCACCTCACCCTCCTTTCTGCCCGCCAGGCCACATCTTACCGGCGCCGCTGTCGCTTGTCTCACTCTCCTTTCTGCCCGCCAGGCCACATCTTACCGGCGCCGCTGTCGCTGGCTTCACTCTCCTTTCTGCCCGCCAGGCCACATCTTACCGGCGCCGCTGTCGCTTGTCTCACTCTCCTGTCTGCCCGCCAGACCACATCCCACCACTGCCGCTGCAGCCTCACTCTCCTCTCTGCCCGCCAGGCCACATCCGAGTGGTGTTCGACTTCGGCTTCGAGCGGCGGGATGTCGTCTACCCGGACCGCATCTTCAACGAGGGCCAGTTCCACGATGTGCGCGTGCGCCGGCTGAACAGGAACGGCGCCTCGGCGCTCCAGATACAGGTGCGCGCCGGTCACGGACAGGCCACTCGTCGGCGCCGATCGTGAGGGAGACGCGGTAATCGTGGTCTGGTCTGGCTACAGAGGCACGGTCCGTGGTCAGGTGTGACGACAGCCGCGCGGGTGGCGGTCCGCTCTGAGTGCAGACGCACGGGTGATGGTCTGCTCTGAGTGCAGTCGCACGGGTGGTGGGTCTGCTCTGAGTGCAAGCGCGTGGGTGGTGGTCTACTCTGGGTGCAGACGCGTGGGTGATGGTCTGCTCTGAGTACAGACGCACGGGTGATGGTCTGCTGAGTGCAGTCGCACAGGTGGTGGGTCTGCTCTGAGTGCAGACGCGTGAGTGGTGGTCTGCTCTGAGTGCAGTCGTGCGGACGGTGGTTTACTCCGAGTGCAGTCGTGCGGGTGGTGGTCTGCTCTGAGTGCAGTCGTGCGGACGGTGGTTTACTCCGAGTGCAGTCGTGCGGGTGGTGGTCTGCTCTGAGTGCAGTCGTGCGGACGGTGGTTTACTCCGAGTGCAGTCGTGCGGGTGGTGGTCTGCTCTGAGTGCAGTCGTGCGGATGGTGGTTTGGTGTGGTCGTAGTTGCATGGGCGATGGTTTGAACGACAGGCTGACCTGTATGGGTTGCGTTAGCCGCCGCCACACCTGGGGCTACGTCGCACGTATTATGTTGACGCTGACGGGTGCACGAGTTCCGTGCAGCAGTGTGTCCCACCAGCAGCTAGCAGGTGTCGTTTGTGTGCGGATATTCTGTTGGTGCGATCAGTTACATGCAGAGAGGCTTTATTGCTGAAGAGTATGTGTACATGGTAACGGACGCCTCTTGAGTTTCGGTCTCCTTGTGGTGCAGTCGCGTACACGCGGTGGAGTTCCGCTGTTGTGTTTGTAGGGCAAACGCTGATCATCACGGGCAGTGTTTGTAGGACGAGCGCTGATCATCACAGGCAGTGGTTGCAGGACAAGCGCTGATCATCACAGGCAGTGTTTGTAGGACAAGCGCTGATAATCACAGGCAGTGTTTGTAGGACAAGCGCTGAGAATCACAGGCAGTGTTTGTAGGACAAGCGCTGGTCATCACAGGCAGTGTTTGTAGGACAGGCTCTGATCATCACAGGCAGTGTGCCCCAGACCGGCTCGCTGGCGGACATTTCCGACGCAATCGTACACGTTCGGTGGCGGTGTCCGCGGCTGTCCGCCGTGCTGAGCCCTCGGGCCCGGCGGAGTGAGCGTGACGCCGCGCCGCCACCGCCGCCACAGGTGGACAACTACCCGCCGTACGAGGAGTCGTTCGCCGTCAACCCGTCGGCGGACGTGCAGTTCAACAACATCCAGTACCTGTACATTGGCAAGAACGAGAGCATGCTGGAGGGCTTCGTCGGTTGCATCAGCCGCGTCGAGTTCGACGACATCTACCCGCTGAAGCTCATGTTCCAGGAGAACCGGCCGACCAACATCATGGGCAGCTCACGTGAGTGAGACGGCGTCTTGAACGCTCGAAGCCTGCGACATCATGGGGCGACTCCTGTGTTGTCGGTGATGCCAGACCTGTCGTATCGATGGTATTGTCGATGTGCTAGATCTTTGTGCTCATTGGGTGAAGAATTAGCGTCGGTTTATGCGCGACGGACCAGTTGTTAGTCATTGATCAGTCTAGGCTGGGTTTCAACTGAGCATGGATTAAGCTCCAAATAAGCTATCCCAGTTTTGTAACGGCGTTTGCAATCACTGCCTTGGCCACTGAGCCTTTTGCGATCTACGCCATCGTTCCTTCCGTTTCGCCCGCTTCATTCACACGCTCGGAGTGAACCGACGGAGGCGTGGCATGCGCCCGTGTTTCGCCACGGATTCGCAGTGCACCCCAGCCGGGCGCCCCCGCCGCCCCATCGCTGTGCCCTTGCGCCCTCACCCCCGCCCCCACGCCCGGCTGATGGCCGCCTCTGACGCCAGCCAAGATCCACGAGGACTACTGCGGCATCCAGCCGCTGCGGCACCCGGAGGAGGTGCCCGAGCAGCGGCCGCTGCCAGAGGTCGACGAGAGCATCGTCAGCTCACTCTACAACGACATCAACTTCGCCGTGCTGGCGGGTACGCCGGGCCTGCCAGTGGTGGTAGGGGAGGGGGGTCCCCGCTGTGTGAGCCGTGACGAGGCCCAGCGGCGTCTGCCCGCTCGGTGAAGAGGGAGTTGGTGGGGGAACTGGTTGGTACCACCATAGCTTGAGGCTATCAAGTGACTAAACAGATGTTCGTCGACCAGCACGTATGTCACACTGCCGCCCACCAAGTTCCGCCGTCCTGTCAGCGGTGGGATGGCGACATTGGCGGAGGGTGCCAATATGTGGTGACGCCCCGCGTGCGAGGTACAGCCCTTTACCGGCTGGATTCGATGGAAACCGATCGCCAAACCGTCCGTAGCTCCTAGCCCATCACCGCACCAAACCGCATAGTGTGATTGTCTGCGTTCAGGTCACAGGGAAAGAGTTGAGCACATGCACCACACGAGTATTCAGGTACGGAACACCCTGGACTAGGCACGGGCGTTCAGTCCCGTTAACATTCGATTCACTCACCAAAGAGCCGTCAGCTAGCTCACTGCTTCCGTCACTCGGCGCACCCAGAGTCCAAATATTTGCACGCACCCGTGGGTCACGGTGACCGCAGAGGCTGCCGACCACAACAGCGTCCTGCAAGGGGGCCCATGCTGTCATCTGGCGTAAGACCAGTGACACTATTTTGTCTGTACCCTTCATGGCGTGAATTCTGCACATGTTTGGCTGAAGACGCGCGGCGCGTGCTGTGCGCAGCCGATCGCCCCGCAGTCCCCCCCCCCCCCCCTAGTCTTCCGAGCCGGCGCTCGAGCGCGTGTGGTGGTTAGGCACCGCTGACCGCGCCGGTCAGCGGTGCGCCGCGCTCTCAGGCTCGTACCCGCTCACAGATGGACAAACGGGATTCGCAGTGAACGGCTTGTGAAGCCTTGTTTTGCTGAAATCGCGCAAAGCGACTTTTTAGCTTTATCAATTCTGAACTAGCTATTGTTCTGCGGCTAGTTTTTGCTTGCTATTTTTCAGCTGCTGTGCTCTTAAATTCTAGAATAACCTCGCGAGTCAGCCGGACGCAACGCCCGACTTGATATTTGGATTGCTAATTATTTTGATTGGACAGTGTGGACAGTCCAATATAAAGGTCGTCCAATTAGAAAACCCTATGCATGAGTGACCATTGCTACTTGGCTGAAGAATGGAATGTTGTTCAACGGCGGCGAAGCAACTGAGGGTGATTAACTTTTCTGGGTTTGGTTGTGATGCCACTTTAATTGGACGCGTATGTAGCTTTAGCAGTTTCAGTTTTTCATTATACAACATGTCATGATGGGATTAATATTTTTTAGACAAGACGAGTTGTAAGCGCCCTCTGCCCTCGTCATCGAGGTGTTCGAGTGTGCGTCGCGCGAGAATGCGCATGATGACGTCATTAGGTGGCTTCCGTTCTCTGGCGGTCGTCCTCGGGTCTGCGGGTGTGTTGGCCACCGCAGATGACTCCTGCCCCTCATGTGACGCTCCCCCTCCCCCAGGCGTGCTACGTGCGCTGCTGCTGTCCACTGTGTGACCCCCTCCCCTCCGTCCGTCCTTCCAGGCGTGCTGTGTGCGCTGCTGCTGGCCGTCCTGCTGGTGGCCTTGCTGTTGACGCGGCGAGCGTCACGGCTCAAGGGCAACTACCTGACACGCGAGGACGCCGGTGCCAGCGACGCCGAGGACGCCGATGAGGCCGTGGCGCAGGGAGAGACGGGGCCGCAAGTGCAGAAGATGCGAGAGTTCTTCATCTGAGCAGCGGACGTGCAGCGCCGCGCGCCGTCGAGTCCGGCCGTGGGCCATTGAAGGGACGCCGGTGCCCGATAGAGTGTGCTTCTCGGGTTTGGGGATGCTGGGCCGTCGGACCGGCCGCGGCCGGCGAGCGGGGGACTGCGTGGCCGGTGCTGTAGCGGGTGGCCATGAAGCCAGTGGCGAGCTCGGGTCAGCGCGGGCCGCCCGCGGCCGTCTGCTGCCTGTCGGCCCGACGGTCGCTCCGGCCACGCCGGGGTCCGCCGGTCACGGAGGCCGTGTCTCGACGGCTCCGAGGGGTCCATGCCGTCCAAGAACGCCGCTGCCTCCCCTGCATTGGATGGGTGCAACACCGCGAGCTCTGTCGGTCGGCTTTGCGCCCTCCAGCGGTCGGCTGGAGGCCGCGTGTGGCCCCGCCCTGCGCGAAAGAGTGCTGGTGAGATTTCCGTCCCGTCACGGCGAGTCTCTGCCACCTCCCGCCGCGCAACGCATCGTCGGACGTTTTTCCGCCCGCCGGCCCGTTGAAGGCGTCCACGGCGAGTCATCGTCGCCGCCGACAAAAACGGCGGTCGGCGCGGCACGGCGCGTCCTTTTTCCCCGCGCTCGGCGGAATTCCTGGCGGACGTTTTTGCCGGCGCTCCGGGCGGCGCCGAGTCGATGGTTTCTTCTGTGACTGGGCGATAACGGTGAGGTGTTGTTTGCGGCGGGCGCCGCTGACGGGTGCGGCCCGGGCCAGGAGGCGCGCTGTGTCGGATGTTGTCCAGCGCCGCGGTCTGGCGCGAGTCGAGCCGCCTCGCGGCCGGCCGGCCACAAGCCTCCCACTGAGGGCTCGTCGTGTTTGTTGTGTTATGATCAGATGCGGCAGCCGGTTGTTCTGCGCTGGCTGGTTGACTCCCTGTGTGCGTGGCCACGTGCCCTGGCGCAGGACTAGGGGTGGTTTGCGAGCACCGCTGGGATTGTTTCGGCGCGTCGCATCGCGCATCATTATTCTACGTTTACTGAGGCACGCTGGTACAAAGCATTTGTGTGAATGCTGTTATGTCTGCACTAGATGACTGACTGAAGTGCCTTATGTTGGAAATGTCGGAGCTTCAAACGAGGGAGAGAGGGAGGGGGAGAAACTCATCGTGTGTCCGATGCTCTGTTCGGGGTCTTATACCAATAATTTGTATATGGCAGTAGGTTTACTGCGCCCATCGGCTGTTTTCCATTAACAAAGACAGTGTGACGTGTCTTTAACCCTGTGTGCCGTCCATTGTCCAGCGAGAGTTCTCTCTCCACCAGCGTTGTGCGTTGCCGTGATGCTGTCGGTGTTCGCTGCGTTTCCTGTGGGCCTCGTCTCACGACCCCATGATCTTGGCACGCTTACGCAACCACTTCCGTCCAGTCCCCGTCCATTTTAGGATTGCTTCCGTCTTGATCGTGTTTTGGCCGTGTTTTACCTGCACCCCGCCGGGCCGCCCGTCCCGACCTGGCGCGCCGCCCGAGCTGCGATGCGTTCCCCTGGTTCTGCCGGTGGCCGACGGCCGGCTGACACACTGGCCCGACCTCGGCCGTCAGCGTCACTGGGCCTGGACATGTTCTCTAGAGTTGTTGAGGCCTTTTGACAGGACTCCTGACTGCTGACTATGGTGCTTTTTAACTTTGTACAATACAGCATTATGCGCATACGTCATGTGGCTTCGTGCATGTGCCGTGGTGGTGAGCGTGGCCTAGTTAGTGGTTTGATGGTTCGGTGGTGAGCGTGGCCTAGTGGTTTGATGATTCCGGGCCGCTATCGAAACATGAGATGCCGTCGCTGATTTAACCTCAGAGTGATTAGGTGTAATTCGTTATCATAAGCTACTGAGAAGCATGCTGAGATACGGTCTGAAAATATTCGTCACACTTGGTGTATTCTGCCACATCATTCAATTTATTCGCTAGTTGGTTATCATGGCACAATCTTCGTCCAAGGAAAACATGATGCTTCCCATTTTGCTGCATTCTGGCGAGCACAGTGGGTCGAGCCCAAAGCGTTTGGCTGGAGCAGCGCACCACCGCTCTGCCCTGTCGTTGCCCCGGCGCCTGATGCCGTCGTGCGCTCGCGCCCGCTGATCTCCGCCTCGCACGCTCCTTTCCGGCATCCAGCCACGCCGAGGCGCATCCTGTCGGCCCCCGTCGAGGTCGGCCTCCGCTGAGGCCTCCGTCGTCCCAGCGGCCGGTGAGGCCACCGGGCGTCCCAGCAAGGCGTTCCAGCGATCGGTGAGGCCACCGGACGTCGCCTCATGTCGCGGGGGACGCTCGGGAAGTCCCCCGCGACATGAGGAAGAGCCGGGCTGCGGCCTGCGGGCACTTATGACCGGCTGAGAGCGTCTCCCGCCGCATCGCCACCTCTCGCGTCCGGTGGAGAGCGTCTCCCGCCGCATCGCCACCTCTCGCGTCCGGTGGAGAGCGTCTCTCACCACATCGCCACCTCACGCGGCAGGTGGAGAGCGTCTCCCGCCGCATCGCCACCTCACGCGGCCGGTGGAGAGCGTCTCCCACCACATCGCCACCTCACGCGGCAGGTGGAGAGCGTCTCCCGCCGCATCGCCACCTCACGCGGCCGGTGGAGAGCGTCTCCCACCACATCGCCACCTCACGCGGCAGGTGGAGAGCGTCTCCCGCCGCATCGCCACCTCACGCGGCCGGTGGAGAGCGTCTCTCGCCACCTCACGCGGCCGGTGGAGATCCGTCGCCGATAGCCGGGCGTCACGCGCGGTTCGCGTGGCAGGGTCGGCACGTGATTCGTATCTTCCGATAACTCCGCGTGCGATTCATAGTCAGCCATTACTCAGCCTCACGTCTCCGGTCATCCGCATGCTATGCATGCAACACACGGGCTTCCCATAAAAACAGCATCGCATTACAGGCTGGTAGACGACGAATGGGTACTGGTCAGGCGGCCGGTTCCTCGGGCGGGGCCATTGCGGGCCGCTTTACGACTCCAGGATCTAATAAAGCACAGGTATCAAACGGCACATTACGCTGCACGGTCCCACCCAGTGGTGTTGGGGCGCGCCTCGCGCCTGATCGCGTGCTCCCCAGCGCCGTCCAAGTTCGTGTTTCGAGCGAACGCATATTAATCATCATCAGACGGTGCATCGACACGATCAGAGTTACTTGTGTCGATTTCAAAGTGACTTGCGTTGACCGGTTTACTGGTTAGAAACTTTACTAATTAGTGCAGTATCGCTGTCTATCGCTGGGGGAGGCGTGGCTCATAACTGGCTACCACCAGGAGTCAAAGCCGGCACAATTGTCATGTGCAATGCCGGAAAATGTAATTGGTTCCGCTCTTGAGGAGTGCGGAGCTCCGACTCACTGCTCTGTTACCTGACGCTGGGTCGTCCCCACCGACCGTCGGCGGAGGTGCCTTCCTATTTCTGACCGGCGCACGCACCGGCACTACCGAAAGTTCAACCGGCACATCTGTCTAGCACAAGTGCCTGGCACAGAAGCCACCCGACCATACTGCCTAGGGGCCCCATGGCAGCGGCTGCGCTGAACACGGGCTGGGCCAGAGCGTGCTCCAGCGCTCCGCTTGGGCCGCGGCAGAGCCTGCCGCCGGCCGGCTGTTCCCGGCGGCACGTGCTGGCCGCTGACCTGGCCCTGACCCTCACCCTGACCCGGGCTCGAAGTCACCAGCGGATGTCACAGCCATGCGCTGACGCGGTGGATGGCGGGTCCGCCTGTCATGTCGACGAGTCATGCTTGTGCGCATCGTGACAATGTCTTGATTATGACCCATGCATACTGATAGCACCGACTTGTAAAACGGCCACCCTGCGAACAACGGTCACGGTGTCAGCACATTGCTTACCCCTCACACGTGCGCGCAAAGTAGCCGTTGCGCAAGCGGAAGGACTAGAACCGTTATTTACCTGTCAATCGCCGTTCAAACACGGTATCGTCACCATCCGTCACGTGTCGATGGCGTGGCGTTTGCGGCGCCGTCTGAGGAGTCAGTGCGGCTCGCCGAGCGGATGAGGCTGTACTCTCACCACAGACGCGTCACGATGGCTCCAATGTCCGTGACTTCTGCAAGGAGCTGTGACATCAGAAGCATGAAAACACGGAACTCACTTGCAGGCGACCGAAGTAGAAACATGCTCAGCAGGATGTGTTTATACATACCTCTTCCAGTGACGCACCATGAGCTGGCTAGACCCAGCAAAATGTACCGATGGTGTTTGTGACACATGAGTCAGTGTCTGTGCCGCGTCTACAATCCGGACGCTCCGCAAAGACAACAGCAAGCAGCTGCCGCATCCATGGGCCAAACTCCCTCTGCATGTGTTTGAGAGCGGTATTATGCACGCATGTCACGCGCGCAAATGCGGCACGCAATGCTTCCTATTTTCAGCATGGTGCTTGTGCGCACGCGTCGAAAGAAACTACCCAAAGCCTTGCACCCCCTTCCCCCCCCCCCCCAACAATACAATATCGGGCCTTACCAGCCCAGGCCATGTCTACATCGCTCTGTGCCCCGGCGGTGGTGGGCCGCAGTGTTCAGCTGCGGCTCCGGAGCCGCAGCTGGGGACGCAGGCTCCGCCGCAGCCGGCGTCACTGCAGCGGGAGCCGCCCGGAGCTGCCGCGCGACAAGCCGCACCCGCGCGTTGGGCGCGGCCGGCACGCGGCCGATACCAGCCGGCAGCGCCTCCAATATATTTTAAGCAGCGATCGGATCGAATGGGATTGAGCCCAATGGAATGATTGAGGACAATTGAACATGGTTGAGCCGGGGAGTGCACGGAAGGAGGAGGCAGGGTGTCGGAGTCTCAGCCGCAGTTTCTTGTGCTCGGCGCCAATATCAGTGTTGCGCGAAATCCGGTTGCGCAAACTGCTCGCCAGTAAGGAGCAGAGACACACCTAGGAGTAAGGCAGTAACACACATCCCACAGCATGCTACGAAAATAACACGACTGGCGCTGGCGGACTGGGGACGCTGAGAACATATTCCTTCCAAATATGTCACGGTCCAGCATGAATCATATGTCACGTGACAAGCAGTGACGTACAAACCACATCCGGTCCTGCTCCTCCCCCCGCCCCCATATACACAAACCCCAAGATGTGTCATCGGAATTGTTCTATATATGGATACGCTTATTGCTTGAAATTTGGAAGCAAATGGGCCCCCAGCTGGCAATCCCCAGCCGCTCCCCCACCTGCTCCCGAGCCCAACCGCTCCCCACCTGCTCCCGAGCCCAGCCGCTCCCCCACCTGCTCCCGAGCCCAGCCGCTCCCCCACCTGCTCCCGAGCCCAGCACGTAATAGACGTAAAGCACATAACGGTCATCAATAAATCCTTTCATCACGATGCCAGCTTATCACTGGCACCAGGCCGGGGTCGGGGTCGGGGCCCGGGACGCGGTCCACTGCCGGTGCTCGGTGGAGGGGGTGGGGGAGGGGGCACCGCGGTAACAGCCCGCGGCGCCGCCGGCCGCATGCACGCGCCCTGGACGGCTGCCAGGCCAGCCTCACGGTCCAAGTGCGGCTAATTCCGCCGCCAACGCAAAACAAGAGTTCATCTTTAATTCATGGTCACGGCTCGTGTCCCCTCGGCGCGCCCCGGCGGCCCCCACCGTAGCCGTGACGTCACGCAGGTGCCGGCGCGCGGCGGACAAAGCCGCGCCGCCGCAGCCCGGCGCCACTGGCGCGCGGCCCCAGCCGGAGCTGGCGCGCCCCGCCGCTGCTCGGGGCCCGTTCAGCCAACGGGCAGTTGGCTGATGCCGCACTCCTCCGAGCTCAACGCAGAATGCATTCGTGCTCCAACGGCGGATGCGCTCCGGCAGGAACGCCAGGGGCTGAAACAGTGGGCGTGACGTGCTGCTTGTTATATGGTGGATAATCCGGAGACGCACGTAGTTGCGAACGAAAGGTGCGGGACACGCAACCCGGTACGAGTGGCGGGTGCGGGACACGCACTCCGGTGTGGGGGTGCGGGGTACGCACTCCAGCGCGAGGGGTGCGGGGTACGCACTCCGGTGTGGGGGTGCGGGGCACGCACTCCGGTGCGGGGGGTGCGGGGCATGCACTCCGGTGCGAGGGGGAGTGCCAGGAATGCAGCGCGGTGCGACGGCGGTGCACGTAGCGCTCAGCGGTGCTGCCAACAGGCGACGCACTCCGACGTCGCGCCGCGTCACGAATCGCACACGCGCTATACAAAAACGAACACATTCTAATGCGAACAGAGGATACAGTCCGACGTCGTGGGGAAACACGCGAAGTGAGGAGACACTGTGTGGAGTGCCCTACTCACGGGGAGTGACAATGGCGATCATTTGCACCAACTTGCTTGTGTATTTTTGGGATGAAAATATGCTGTCAAATGTTGAATGTATTTTAGAATATCAAAACTCGAGATAATTTAGTGGATCGCAGAGGAAGCCTCCATGCTATTTAAGTTGTGAAACAAGATAACGCGACCGGTGTAGGCATTCGTTTGAATCGTGGCTTACTGTTGTAAAGCCTGTCATTCTATGCAAGTCCTTAAGAGTGGTTTGGCCCACTAGACATCGCTTTTGAGCTAAACACGTGACAGTTGAGGCAAGGTCCCCAGAATCGCATGGTGTTTTTGGCCAGGGATTCTTTCTTGACACCACCCATTAAAAAAAGCATTGTCCTTAACACGAGCCAGGTGGAC